TCAAGGTGGCTTTCTTGGAATAATTGTCCCAAGAAGATTGCCCAGTGAACCTTTCTAGAGGTTTTTCTTGTTCTTGAGATTTCTAGTGCATCACAGAGTGGCAGGTATACTTTTCAGTCCACATCTGGATTCTCCTGATTGTGTATCTTTCTGTCATGCTACCTACCATACTAGTCATCCTATCATACCATCTGTCTTTCCGTCAGTTTTTGAATTCTTATATACTACCAAATGTGCCAGTCACGGAGAGAATTTTCTAGCTTTTTATGTTTTCATTTATTTGCCATGGTTTTTTTATTTTTTCTGTTGTGGGGCTTGAACTCTGTCCCTGGGCCCTGTCCCTCAGCTCAAGGCAGTGTTCTACCACTTGAGCCACAGCACCACTTCCAATTTTCTTATGGAGATAAGAGTTTCATGGACTTTCCTGTCCAGGCTGGCTTTGAACCATAATCCTCAGATCTCAGCCTCCTGAGTAGCTAGGTTGACAGACATGAGCCACTGGCACCTGACTTCCACATGGTCTTTTTTTTTTAAAGTATAATCATGTATATATTTGTATATGCATATAAGTAACTTTTTTTCCAAATGAGGTCTTACTATGTTGTCCAGACAGGTTTTGTACTTAGTATCCTCCTACTTTTGCCTCCCAAGTACTGAGATTACAGTTATGCACCAACATGCCCAGCTTTATATATTTACATAATTTGTGTCTTCAAGCCCCTTTTATGCTTAAATTACTTAAAGGGAATACACAATTCATTATATAGTATGTATTATGCATTCTTACTGGGATATATCCTTCCAGACTTTTAAAATATATGTGTGTGTGTGTGTGTGTGTGTGTATAGACAGACAGACAGACAGACGCAGAGACAGAGAGGAGAGAAAGAGAGAATCTTTTATTTTTGAGAAAGTGTCTTGCTGTCTTTTTATGAAGCCTAGGCTGTCCTTGAACTTGTGATCCTCGTCTTGTCCCTCAAGCCTTAAAGTTATAGGTGTAGGCCACCATGCTACCTTCTTTGGCATTTTTCAAAGATATGATTTTGTTTTTATTTTTGTGCTAGTCCTGGGACTTGAACTCAGGGTCTGGGTGCTGTCCCAGAGCTTTTTTAAAAGCTCAAGGCTAGCACCCTATTACTTGAGCCACAGCTCCACTTTTGGCATTTTTGTGGTTAATTGGAGATAAGAGTCTCACAGACTTTCCTGACTGGACTGGCTTCAAATCACAATCCTCAGATCTCAGACTCCTGAACAGCTAGGATTACAGGCATGAGATATTAGTACATGGCTCCAAAGATATGATTTTAAATGAGGGCATTTTCAAGTTAAACCATGGAGTGTTTAATGAGCTACTTGTTGATGATACAGACCTCTTTAAAAGTCAGTTATCTTTACCATAAGCTAAAAGAAGGCAAGAATCAAATATGTAATTGTTTAGTTTTAGGCAGTGCAATCAAAATATATCTGAAGTAACTTGATTATGTGTATGCTATTTTCCTTTAGTTACTATTTAAAACTAAGAATCCAGTCTGCAATTCAGTTGGAATAAAGGAAATTGGAAGCTCTGAAAAATTTTGGAGGAAGATAGGGTCATCAAACCTCTGGCTGGCCTTTATTCTTGAGAGGATTGAGGTCTTCATAGGACTCACTAGCGACTCTAACTTCTTTTTCATAGAGGAGGAAATGGAAACATTACGTTACATGCTTTCAGGGCACTGTGGCTCATGCCTATAATCCTAACTACTTGGGAGGCTCAAAGGGGATGGTTGTTGATTGGCAGTTAGTAGGGGCAAAACAAACATTTGTAAGACCCCTCTTAACTAAAGAAGTTGGATATGTTGGTGTGTATTTGTCATTCTAGCAATATGGGAAGCTTAAATAGGAAAGTCAAGGTCCAGACCAACTCTGCAACTATGATATAAACAAGAGACCTTTTTAGAAAAGTAACTGCAGCAAAACATGGCTCATGTGGTAGAATGCTTGCTAGCAAGCACAAGGTCTCAAATTCAAACCCCAGAAAAATAGTATACTCTCCTCCCACCCACTGCTTTCCTATCCTATGCCCTTGTCACCGCAATCTGCAGATTCCACTTACTGTTAAAAGTGCAAAAAGTGGGGCTGGGAAGGTGGCTCAGTGGTAGAGTGCATGCCTTGCGTGCATGAGGCCCTGGGTTCAATTCCTTAGCACCACATAAGCAGAAAAAGCCAGAAGTGGTGCTGTGGCTCAAGTGGTAGAGTGCTAGCCTTGAGCTGAAGAGCTGAGGGGCAGCACCCAGGCCCAGAGTTCAGGGTCCATGACCGACCAAAAAACAAACGAACAAACACAAAAAACAAAACAAAACTTAGGTTAAAAAAATAAAGTGCAGAAAGTGAGATCTGATGACCTCGGTTCAAAGCCAGCCCAGGTAGGAAAGTCCGTTAGACTCTTATCAACAATTAACCAGGGAATGCTAGCCTTGAGCAAGAGTCAGGGACAGTGCCAGACACTAAGTTCAAGTCCCATGACCGACAAAAAGAAAAAAAAAAGTACAGAAAGATGGGCTGGAGATGTAGCTCAGTGGTACAGCCTTTGGGATGGTATATTTGCAGTGGTACACCATACATAGGAGAGGAGCCTGGGTTCCATCCCTAGCACATAAAAAAAAAAAGAATAAAAAGCACATATCCACACAAAGACTTTCACAGGCATGCTCATAGGAGCATTATTCATAACAAGCCAAGAAGAAGAAAAATGCAAATGTCCATCAACAGTTAAAGGGATAAAGTGTGGCACATTCCTTTAATGGAATACTACTAGGCAGTAAAAAAGGATAATGGATAAATACCACGATGTGGATGAATCATTTTTAAAAAACGGTTGAATTGAAAAACACAGATAAAAGAAATCACATAGTATACTTCCATTTATCTTAAAATTAAAAATGCAAAACACTCTGTAACAACAGAAGGCAATCTGTGGGTACCTGGGTTTGGGAGTGGGTGAGGAGGAACTACAAAGGGGCAGAGGAAACTTGGAAGGGTGTAGAAATGGTTTCAGAGCTGTAAACACATCAAAGTTATCAAATGGCCTACTTTAAATATGTGCAGCTTACTATGTCAATTATACCTCAGCAAAGCTGTTAAATTTGTGAGATCCCTCCCAAGTTTGAAGAATAAAATTCGAAGCACCAAACTAAAATTACTTCTTCAGATAACCAAGTTTCTATTCCAGTATGATAGTTTATCTGAAGAAAACATTACTATGAAAAATGCAAAGTCATAAAAATAGAAATGACATTTTGGTCCCCCTGGTAATCATACCATTTCCTTATGCCTGTACAGTTGCTTTATATCATAATCTTCTTAGTGTTCTATTCCATTGTTTTTTTCCAAATAATAATAACCTGTTGTGTTTTCCTGAACTATTAGGCTGATCTTTTAAAAAAATTTTAAATAAGTTTTTATTGTGAAAATAATGTACAGAGAGGTTACAATCACATGAGCAAGGTAATGAGTACATTTCTTTTTTTTTCTTTTTTTTATTGTGAGACTACCGTACAGAGGGGTTACAATTACATGGGCAAGATAATGAGTACATTTCTTATCAAGCATTGTTACCTCCTCGTTGTTTCCCCTTCCATCCCTTCCCATACTCCCTCCATCCCCCAACCCAAGTTGTTAAGTTCGTTTTTCGACATGACAACTTGTATGGGCTGATCTTTTACGTACAATATGGCCTATGCTGGTGTGTGGACGTGGGTGGGTGTGTAGGAAGGTACACAGTATAAATTTGAACCAACGCTGTAATTTGCTTTGGGGATTTTGTAGTCAGGACTCAACATCAGCACTGGAAGCAAGTTGGAATTTTCTAGAAGCCTGTACCCTTTTTTCCAAGATGAACACCTTAAAAAAATGTGAATTGAGTAATTAAAATTTGCTACTTAGCTTTCCCACTCACCGTTAAGACAAAGGCTGTGGCACGCGCACAGTCTACACCACCCGGAGTGTCCTTCCATTCTGGGTACTACACACTCATTTCCAACGCCAAGTTCTGCGTCCAGCCCCTCCCTCCTATTTTCAGGAGCTGGGGAGGCGCACACAGGTCTGCTCTTCTTCTTCTTCGTCTTCCTCGCACGGCGCCAAAGAAGGGCGAGAAAGACGCGACTCAACAACTTTTCAGTTCCATTTTGAGAAAGGCTCACGTCGAACTCCGGAGACGCGCGGGCCGGCCGAGAGCGGCCGCCTCCACCGCGGCCCGGGCG